TGGTCTAGTGCTGTCAGTCTTCCTGAATTTTGCAGCTATTTGTGAAGTCAGTGTGATTCCCAAACACTCAGTGAGTGAAAATGTCTCGTTTGACGGCGTTTATCACATATGAACACCGGTATGCAAGAAGACGCAGCAGCAGCAAAAGTTGCGGTGGGATGTTTCAGGAGCACACCGCGCAACTGTGAAGCATGCTTACTCGAGAAATTTAGAACAGTTTGCTGCTTCTTATCGGTATTTGTGCATGATTAACATTGAATTTTGACGCCATCAACTTCAGTGAGCCTCCAAATCGTTTGCTGGACCGCTAGAGCTCTGTGCCGTGAGGGCAAAAATGGTAGTCATGAATTCAAATCGAACGTCATCTTCTATGAAGCATACTGTTAAAGATATTTGGAGCAATTTGCCACATTTTACCGAAATGCTTGGCATAATCTCCTGCGAGTATGCGATTTATGCAAATTCGCATAAAAAAAGGATTTGTTGAGCGAATTGATGCTGCACATTAATTTCGCGTTATTGAAATCCGTATGCAGAAAGGAATGAAATGGATTTGCTGAGCGAATTGATGCTGCACATTAATTTCGCATTTTCTGGGCCATACGGATGAAGGTTGATCCAGTTGCTGGCCAACAGAAATACCATTTTGCAGTGCTCAGATTTCGTTATGGCAGTGTTCCTAAAAAGACAGAGACAAGCAGCCCAACAAATTCCAGTGGCGTCAACCACTCGGCCAAAGATGGTATGCGCTGTTGTTCAACGTGCTTCTTTTCTGGGAATATTCGAAGTTATCCTGGAGGCTGAAGATCTGGATCGTGATCAAAGACTGCTTCCAGATGCTGAACGAAGGAAGGGTAGCGAGAAAAACGACAGCCCAGAAAGAGCACTTCGCTGGATCATTGTATAGCGAAGTATGTCGTTGGCCAGCAACACCTTGATTATGCTGGCGAGTGAAAACTTGTCTACCAAAAGACTAACTATGTATAACTTTTGGTTTGGCCATCGCATTTGAATCGATTCTGATGGTCAGCAGTACTTACTTTCAGCAAGCGTTAAATCTTTTGCCAGTGGAATTCCTAGCTTCGGGACGCTTTGTCACGGGAGTTTGGCAGCCCTCTTCGAATGCTTCGGCCACTGCTTCAGCACAGCAAATCCAGCACTCCAG